ACAGTCATTGTTTAGTGGAAATACGCTGCAAGCACAGCATTTTGTTTAGTGGAAATACGGTGCAAGCACAGCGTTTTGTTTAATAGCAATACGGTGCAAGTATAGCATTTTGTTTAGTAGAAATACGGTGCAAGCACAGCATTTTGTTTAGTAGAAATACGGTGCAAGCACAGCATTTTGTTTAGTGGAAATACGCTGCAAGCACAGCATTTTATTTAGTGGAAATACGCTGCAAGCACAATGTTTTGTTTAGTAGAAATGACGTACATTAATACCCTTTCTTTCAGCCAATAAAAAAGTGTCATCATTGGAAGATACTTGTACCACATCTTAATAGCTTTAAATTATTTTATTATTGTAAAAAAAAAAATCATAATAACTTCTAAGATGTTACAAATTTGACTCGTACGAAATTTCTTTTTATATGAAAACATTACCTGGCCAAACTGAGTTTTGTAAGAAAGAGCAATCTCTTGTCTTTGGGAACCAGTACGATGAGCCAAGATATCAATCATTGGTTGTTCATCAGTTCCTGAAAGAAAAATACTCAAGTTTATTCGCTACTCAAATTATGAACATTATCTGATCTTCAATATTGATGGAAGTAAAATAACAAAACTCTGACTTGGTATTTAAACATTAAAAGTTGTGTTTATTGCTTTATATTATTACACAACTGTGAAAGAATTGAGAAGTCAAATAACAATCAATTTATACTAAAAATAACGCATAAAAGGTGTCTATTAAACTATTATAACAAATATACCAAACAAATGAAAGATTTAAAAAAACTGTTTGAATGTTTTCAATAAACCAAATTACCTAACCCTTCCATAGCATTCCTTAACTCAGCAGCATCGGCTATTGGATCGAAGCCTTCGAACGCCAAAAGGGTAGCTTGTTCCTGAAGAAGAAAATTATCCAATAATAAAGAAGTATTCAAATTCAATCAGAACAGTAAAAAAACCTAATTGCACCATTGGTAAGATTGTATTAACCTTTTGTGATCTGTACAATTTCTCACAACGTTTTACAGGTTCCAAGATATTTTATCTGTGATATCAGATAACAATGTCATTATTAAAACAACCTAGATCATGAATATTTCACTATAAATGAAAGAAGATCCTGGTAAGAATCGTTTCACTGGATTTCTCAAAGAAGTGTCAAAATGGCCGCATATACGATTCAGGCTCTCGAGCGAATTAACACTTCTCCCACATATTTTATTAAATTCTAAAATAAAAATTTTAGAGAAAGATTATTACAAATGTCTTTCAAAATCAAAATTTAAAAAGCAAGAGCCTTTTGCATGAATGATCGCTAGTTGATCACATGATTACTCGTACATAAGAGATCCCTCTGTCGGGTCGTTTAGCATACTTTTGTTTCTTTGAGTTTTTTTTAAATGAGACATCTAACCTATATAATATCCAGTGTGTATTACATCATGCTTCATTTCTCGAAATAGGAGTCATAATAGCCAAAACGCATTTATCCAGATAGAATAGTTCGATTACTATCTGCCCATTACGATTTTATTGATGGGGGTGAAAGTGGAGTACCGTGAAACCTTACAAGTGTAGTGAGTGTTGGTTTAATAAGCCTAAAGTAAAGACGTAGTGTGGGATCACGTAGCCTAGAGCCAAGTGCATAATATTTATCATAAAGGTAAAATAACGATTCAATTTAAAAC